GGTTGGTTACATCTACAGGGTTTCTCTGTGTAGCTTTGCGCCTTTCCTGGAACTCACTCTGTATACCAGAATGGCCTCAAACTCACAGAGATTCTCCTGCCTCTGCCTCCTGAGTGCTGGGATTAAAGGCCTGCACCACCACCACATGGCTTAGTTTCACTTTTTAAATTTGATTTTCTTTAAATATACCTTTGCTCTAGTCTATTGTTTTTTTTTTTTTATTCTACATATTTCCCAATCATTAAGGATTTCTTTGCATTTTTCTCTGGTGCTGTTTTGTTGTTTTGTTTTGTTTTGTTTATTTGTTTGCTTGTTTTCTATTTAGTGTACTTTCTTCTGTAGATCTGGCATTCATCACACAATGTAATTGGGAATTGCTTTGATCATTTAATCCTGACTGTGCTGTCAAGAACTGGGAAGACAGTCCTGCCACTCCTTCTTTTCTGGGTTTTAACTGGTCAGTGAAAAAGAAAATAGACCAGTGAATGAATAGCCTCCCAACTCTTTGCCATTTATTTGGAACTTACAAGTCAGGAATCTTGGTGGTGGCCACCATTTTAAGCAAGGAAAACTGATCACAGGAAGGTCCCAATTGTTGTTTTAAGATAGTGCTAAGCAACAAGAATTAAATAAAAGACATTTGAATAAAACTATGTAAAGATAACGAAATAAATTACTATTTCCTAGGTATAATTGGTTAAACTAAACCTTAGAGAAAACAAAAGACAGTTTTCATGTAATACACTACTATAACCATGCTTTTGGTTTTTAATGGGTGTATGTTGGCATTACAAAGAAACAGCAAATATATACCCAAGCAACATTAAATTGATATATACAGCATCCAGTACAACACAATAATCCTTCTTTAAAATATAAAACTCTAGCTTATGATAGAGAGATCTTTACCCTGAGGGTCTCTCTACTCCATGGATGAGCATCCCATTAATTTTTTTTTATTACAGACATGTGATCATTAACAGTATACAAAAAATGTGAATGAATATTTACATCCTAGCATTCTAATCTCTAACAGCCCTGGGTAACATATGACTTACCTTTGGGTTATTTTAGATTCAGCCCACCCTTAGCTAAATTCTACTTTCTGTGACTATTTCCTAATTATTGGTAAATCCTTTATATCAACAATTTTACCCCTATATATCACAGCTTAGTAGTAAAATGCTACCCAGTATATAAGATGAGTATTTAACTTCAAATAAATCTTACATCTAAATGTCAAATTCAATATGCAGACATTCTATAAAACACTAGAAACTAGGCCCCTTTGGGTCTTGCAACCTGTCTAGGCCTTGGAGGGTTTTTCTAAGTTTCTGATATATCGAGAAAGAAACAGAGCTCCTTCTCTAAAACATAGAATATGCTTTGTAGAGCTGGTAAATATCTGGGGCCAGTTTCTTTGGGGCAGGGGCTTGCTTCTGATCATGAGAACCCACCTCTTTGTACACATAGGGCTGTGGTTATCAGTCCCAAGGCTACAGTGGACTTTGTTTATAATATCCTTGAGTTACCCTGTGTTTCTCTTGTGCAACACTGTCTGATTTGCCTCCTTCTGAATTTGTATACTTCCTCTTGAAACTGAACCCATTGGTTTACATAACAAGTAACTTGCTGTTGAATTTGCCACAAACCTTTAGCCAGCCTGGGATAGGTATGTCCTAAGATTGGAAGCCAGGGCTGGGAACTATTGTGCTTTGTGATTTCAGCTCACTAGTCCTATCACTCAGGCCCTATTATCCATTCAGAGCCTCCAGCAGACCCACCAATCAGATGGGAGGGCACTTCCAGGAGCCACAATTTTGACTCAGTTCATTTCCTGAGGAAGCCAGAAGTTGTCTTGTGTGCTGTGCCTTGGCCTCCATCATAGGGACAGTTCAGGTCACCTTGGCAGGTACACCTTGGTGAGTGAGGGACCACTGTGCTCATGTCAGGAGGAGTGGCTGGCCATAACGAGTGAAGGGCTGCTGTTTTCAGACTGGGTGGGCTAGCTGAGCTGAGGGAGCTGGTATGTTGGGTCCTTCCATTGTTTGATGGAAGGCAGTGGCTAGACAAAAGTTTAGCATGTTCCTGCTGGTCCTGCATGGTCCTTGTAACTCCCTGGGATAGGGTGGCAGCCTCAGAATAATGTCACTGTTCTGGCTGTGTCTGTGCAGAGCAATGGGAGCTGGACTGTGCTTAGAAATATCCTTGATTTTGACATAACTGTGAAATGATGTTGCCTGTAGTGCTTGTATTGTCACTGTGGAAGGTAGATTTGCCAAACTTGGAGAGCCCTGGTCTCTCTAGTATCTTCCAGAAGTCCTGCAGTTTTAACATATAACATTTAGGTTTAGGATCCAACTGTAGTTAATTTTGAGCAGCTTGTAAATGGTATATCAGGTTTAGAGTAGCACTCCATTATTAAACTGTGATATAGAAGAGTAGAACTGATCATAATAGAATCCATAAGATAAGGATTTACTCATTCTTAGGAGACATTAAGTCACAAAATAAAATTTAGGTATGGGAGGGCTTCACCCCAAATACCCTAAAAATAAGTATCATGCTAATTATTCCTATTAGAAAATAGTATGTTAAAATGAAAGCATTTATTAACCAGGATTAATCAGGTTTAAAGCTACATTTCCATAACAAATGAGACAACCCTGATTTACAACCTGCAAGAAAGGACCATCCCTCCATTAAAAAAACAGGCCTCTCAATGCTGCTCAAGTGAACAATCAACATTAAGTCCTGGTGTGCCATGAAGGTATATTTATTCTAGAAGAGCTACATCTCTACTCTTTTTGAAAAGCAGTTTTGAGTCAAGGTCTCCAGCCTTGATTGAGTGGCATTGCCCTTCATTTCCTCCTTACTAACCAACCTAATTCTCAGATTACAAGTCTGCAGCACCAAAGAGTTCTCCATTTGCCAGTGTGAGTCACATTGTGACTGTCCATTGCAGTGAGGGGGAAAAGATTTGTGTGTGGAGCATGGCTTCTCTCTTCAGATTAGAAGAGGAAGAACAGTAGGGGAAACAGACTAGACAATAGCTAGATCACAGACTGAAGCTTAATGTAGTGAACTGCAGGAATCTCCATTATAAAGAAGGACCTGATGGGGTTGGGTAAATGACTTTCTGTGTATTTTCCCAGCATGTATTCATTCAAGGTGAATGA